GGCCCATGAGCAGTGAAGTTGGGATGATGTAGGGAAGGTGCTTGTCCACCAGTCTAACCTGGGAACAAAGATCATTGGCTAGGAGGGTGGACCCCAATGCAAGCCTGTGAAAATTTGGGAATACATAATCCCTAGACAAAGAAATTCTTGCTCTCTTGTTCCTCTTGCTTCGCTCTTGCTGCTTTTCACTCGCTTGTTCCATGACCCACGCTAGCCTGCTGTGAGGCCCTTAAGCAGTCACATGACTCACGGGCATGCAGACCCTACACACACTGGACTGCAGCTGGGAGCACAAGCTAAGTTAGCCAAATGCTGGACTGGAATGGACTTTAATGTGGAGTGAAAACTCTGGGCAGTGGCTTTGGGCCTAGCTCTGCTAAAGACAGAATCGGGCTTTTTCCATGGCGGGACCGAGGGACATAGGACCTTGAGAGGGAACTCCATTAATGTTACTTCATCAACAAAGCATTCCACGATACCGCATCCTCCCGTGGGGGCCTCGGGAAATTCTTGTTCCCGTGGCATCCCAAGAGCTCCACTTCCATCAGCAACAGGTGGGGACACAGAGGTTACCCCACTGATAACAGGAGGTTCTGGAATGAGGCGGTGGAATGCAAAACAAGAGGCATAAAACCAGGTATGAGTTTTGTTTTGCTGCTTTCTCTCTGGGCATGAGGGCACAATAGTGTAGTCTGGTCCTGAATCACACATCAGAATAAGACAGTGTAAGTGCCAGGTCATTCTTTATTCCCTGAAACCCACAGCTACCGATGCCTATGTCCACACCCAGAGGTCTCCACTGCCTTTTGGTGGTTCTGGAGCAACCAAGAACAATGTCATCTTACTATTGAAGGTGTTCCCCAACTTGAGTTGGAGGCAAGCTGAGCATCTGCCTCAGGCTTTAAGTCTGAGGGTTACTAAGAAAGCTTCCAGACTCACCCAGAGTGTGTTGCACCTATTTGAGTAAGTCATCAGAGTGTTCAGTAGTGAATGAGGCTCTTTCCTCAAAGAGCAAAGCAGCATCACTCTGCATATCCTGAGTGTATCAAGTCACTGGATTTTTAAAATAGCATCGACATAGGCCATTAATATATCATGGAAATGAAGAGTTACTTTTTGTGGTATCTATTCCTCTGTCTCAGTCAAGAGAAAATTTGCTTGAATTTGTACAAAAATGCTTTTTGGCTTACTTAATTTTACGGGTTTGAGTGGTTGCCACAACACTCGACATTTATGTATGATGTGATGCGAATCTTGTTTCCACTCACTAGTAGGCAAATGCTTTGTTAGAGTTTAAGAAAGTGTTTGCTTTGTGTAAAAATAATGAATGTGATTTCACACATAAAACAGAAAGTCAGATTGAGAACAAAAAGCAGAATTATACCAAAATGAAAGTTGACAATCGTATAGATGAAACCTTTACTTATCTCATAGAAGATAACCTCATTAGTGAAATAGTTCATCATCAGTTCACTCCTAGACTATGTGATAATGACTGCCTTAACCTCAGTGAAGTAGTTCATCATCAGTTCACTCCTAGACTATGTGATAATATTAAATCTTTAAGTAAACACACTTAAAAACTCTTAAAATATGTTGTTAAAATGCACCTGAATGTAATTTATTACATTTTACAACTAATATTTAATTGTTACCAACCAGGAAATGGTATGAGTCTTATCTTTCCTGACAGAGGAGAACAATTGTTAACAGCACACTTTAAACCCATTTCTTTGGTTGAGATAACTTCCACTTTAGTTCCAAATTTTCGGGCACATTTGGGGTCAAAATCGTTTTATGGAACTTTCTCTCCAAGGCCAGAACTGGACTCCACCTCAGCCAGTCTATCTACTGTGTTTAATGTGTTCTGACTTGTCCTGCGTTTGCTCTTTATTTCTCCCTTGAAAGTGGGAAAAGCAGAAAGCGCGATGATTACCTGGACTGCCCTGTAGCAGCGCTCCGTAATCACAATGACCAGTCCCTCTGATACATGCTGTCTTTTCTCAGAACTTCCTGACCCATTTTCTGTTTTGTTGAGAAGACGACAAAATTGTATTTCTTTCCCTCCTGACTTTTCCAGAAATCTCTTATATTAACTGGTATTTTCATCTGCCACTACCTCTCACTGTTATTGCATTGTGCCTCTCAGAATACAGAATGCCCACATTTCACCTTAGGAAAGAAACACTTTTTCTGCAAGAGTCAGTTTCTCTGATGAAGCCACCCATGGACCATTTAATAGAAAACTCAAAAGACTTGGGAGCACAATTTACCAGCCCTTCAATCAAGCTGCAGCACTGTATTTTGTCCCGTAGTGAGAAGGCTTGGCTTGGGAGGTGCAGGCAAGAACACAGGGCAGGGCAGGGAGGGTTCTCTGGAGTAAGGAGAAGGGAGGAGGGAGGAGGGAAGAGGGAGGGAGGGAGGGAGGGGAGAATTCAGGGCACCTTGCTGCACTTAGACACTGCACTCCTGCCTGGGGCCTGCGCGCCAAGGCTGGTCCCCTCCCTTCCCCTGGAAACATGCCCTTTGCTTACTTTTTGTTAGAAGCAGCTGGGAAGGATAGATTTTGCTCTGAGTCAGACTTAGCTTTTGAAGAGGCTGCTTCATGAGAGTCATCTGTTGTCATCCCTCTGGGTTTCAGCTCAGTGTGATAAGGTTACTTAAATATGTGTGTGTGTGTGTGTGTGTGTGTGTGTGTGTGATAAGGTTACTTAAATATGTATGTGTGTGTGTGTGTGTGTGTGTGTGTGTGTGTGTGTGTTTAAATGGTTATGAAAATAAACCACTCACATGAATGTGCCTCACCCCTCCTACTGATGAGTCCGCTGCCCCTGGCAGCAACTTTCAATTCTCTTAGCTGTTCCTTCTAGCGTTTAATTACCTCTACATGTCTAAATGCTATACATATGCTACTGTTACTGGATTTGCCAATTGTGGACATTATATACTGTCTGCTTTCCAGGAATGATAAGGTTTTAGACTAACAACAGTGTGTCCCATTTTAACGTACTTTTTTCTTCCTCATATACTTACATCAAAGTTTTGGGTTAAATTAGTGATTATACTATTTGGACTGTAATGTATAACATTTTAAAGAATAGCTAACATTTCATGGGTACTTTTTAGGTGCAAGACACTGTTTAAGAGCTTTAGGCACGTATTAACGTATCTTCATAACAACCTTATCAAGTAGGTATGATTGTTTTTTTCCATTTTGCGGATGTGGACATCGAGACAAAGGTTAAATAACTTTCATGAAGTCATCTAGGTAGTCGTTGGTGGAGCCAGACTTCAAATCAAAGTAAATCTGGCTCCAGAGTCTACTTTTCACTATTACACTGTTTAAATTACTATGATTTTGAAATATTCTTCATAGAGAAGCCACATATATACTATTACTGCTTTTTCTTTTATTTACTATTATTTCATTTTTCTTGCTATTATTATTATTGTTGTTATTTATTATTATTATTATTTTGTCTTTTGGGATTCCTGTTAGCTGAAAGTTGTTATGTCCTGAATTGATGTCCTAACTTTCTTACCTTTATATCTTTGCTCTCTTTTGGCCTGCATTCTGGGAGATGGCCTGAACTTTTTAGAAAGAGAGGAACAGAGGGAGAAAGGAAGGGAGGGAGAGAGAGAGGAAGATAGAGAGAGAGAGAAACATTGATTGGTTGCCTTCTGTCTACACCCCAACCAAGGACTGAACCCAGGTTGACTTTTTATTCTGTGACATTTTTAAATCCCAAGAGCTGTGTCTTCTTTTTGGCACGTCCTTTTGTTTACGTTTCAGTTCCTCCTTCCCGATTGTGTACTTTGGTGTCTTCCACCTCAGTGGCTTTCCTCCACTGTCAGAGGATCTGTGGCTGTCAGTTCACAAGTATGAGTGAGGCTCTGAACTGCTGATGGACGCAGACTGTAGGTGGCCAGGCTGGTCAGTTAGGGGCCGCACTGCCCAGTGAGTTAACATGTGCAGATCTGTTCAGCTGGGGGCTCCCTAGTGGTCATCATCTGGAAGCTTTTCCCCTGGGTAGGTCAGATGATCTAGAACAGAACCTTCCAGATTCATCCCTGGGAATATGTGCCTCTGCAGGTATTGTGAGAGCCATGTTTGAGGCAGGGGACAGAAAGATCTCATATTGGTGTGGACTTGCACTCAGTTCTCCCTTTTCAGGCTCACATTCACCATTGGACCCCCATGCACCTCCTCCCCACTATGTCCCTAGTTCCTGAAAACTGCTTTTTCAATTTCTTTAGAAATAAAAATCTCTCCTCTCCTGCCCTGATGGGGGAAGCATGGCCACATGCGAAGAGGAGAGAGGAATGGGATCAGGAGGACTTTGCCTTGTAGGAAGCCCATGTCACTGCTTCCAATGCTGGCCTTTCGAAGGGCCTACAGTACAAGGGCCTACACTACAGCCTGCCTTTCCTTGGCTGTGCTATTTGAGGGTTTTCGTTTCCTTTGTCCGAATAGGTCAGTAATGAATTGTGTATTCAACAAAATCTCCATCTTCTAGAAGACTGTTGACGTTTCTTTCTTGCCGTCCTCCCCTCTCCTTTTCCCTCTGTCCTTGGGGAATTTTCCTTTTTAAATGTAATCACTCTCCTTACACTGCAGTTTAGGAAGGATCTGCCATATTTAATGGAAGCCTGATTACATCACCGTTGGAAAAATTCGTTTCCTGGCGTTTGCTGCTTTTTCCCGTTAGGCTGGAGAAACCCACAGGAATTGATTCAGAACAACAGGCTGGTTCGCTTTTCTTCCTCCTTGAGCAGCATTTCTGAGGTATACGGTTCTTCCTTTTCTCTGGGAGGCTCAGTCCTGAATGATCCCTTAGCTCTTTTCTCTTCCCCTCTTCATCTCCAAATGAAAGGAACAGAGTCGGGTTTCAGAAACTAGATCTGACCTTCAGGCAAACTCACTTTCAACCAGGCTTCTCTCCGCCTTTTCCTTTCAGCGGTGTTCTCTGAACACCCTTCTGGATCTCACTCAGGCTCAATTGTCTGATATCAGCTTAAGGTGTAAGTGTAACGTCTCCTGGGAACATGGGTAAGGCTTTGGGGGTGAAACTCCCACAGGGAATTTTCTCTTCTTAGCCAGTGGAAGTCTGGGCTGCTTTGGGGCTTCAGGGCCTTCCTAGAAACCTCAGTGTCCCGCTCTGCCTATCCTCACAGTCAGACCAGGCCTGAGGGCCACTTGGCTGAATTGTTTAGTCAGTGGTGTGATTCAGCTTCATCATTTCTAGGAAGATTCCTGTGTTGGCATCTCATTGGGGAGGGTGGACATGGGGTGGCTCTAAACTCTGACCAGGGAGTGCTTCCTGTAGGAATGCTCATTGGAAGACAATGATGGCACAGGTGAGACGAGGAATGTCACCAGTGAAATGGGTTTGAGTTTTTAAAAAATTTATCTTTATTGTTGAAAGTATTACAGATGTCCCCTTTTATCTCCCCGCCTATTGATCCACCCTGCTCCTGTCCCCTCCCCGGGCCTTCCCTGCACTATTGTCTGTCCATGGGCTATGCATATATGCATAGAAGTTCATTGGTTAATCTCTTCCCACTTCTACCCCCTTCCCTCTGAAATATGTCAGTCTGTTGCATGCTTCTATGTCTCTGGATCTATTTTGTTCATCAGTTATTTTGTTCATTAGATTCCACATATAAGTGAGGTCATGTGATACTTGTCTTTCTCTGACTGGCTTATTTCGCTTAACATAATACTTTCCAGGGCCAGCCATGCTGGATTTGCCCTGGGCAGTGGCTTTGCCAGCAGGTTGGAAGAAGACACAAGAGGCGTGCTCATCAAATTTGTAACAGACACAAGGCTGGAAAGAATGGCCAATGTAATCGATGAGAAAAATACGTCTCAAAATGATCGCGGTGTGCTGGAAGGCTGGGTTAAAAATAACAAGGGGACATTTCAAAGAGATAAATGTAAAATCTTATTTGGGAGTTAAAGAAATCAATGGTGATGATGGGAGAAAAAATCTACTGTCAGTAGATCTGGTAGAGAAAAGACATTTAGGTTTCATTTGACTAAAAGCTCAATATAAGTTGCTAAACCTGATGAGACAACAAAAACTGTATTAATGGAACTGTAATGTATTGATCCCAGGAAGTAGCACCTCCTCCGTGGTCAGACACACCTAGAGCCTGTGTTTGCTGGTGTACCTTTTCTTTGATAGAACAAATAAGAGTTTGCCGGAGAAAAGCTGTTAGTAAAGACCCAGAGGGTCTGGAAGCAATATCTCAGGAGAAACCATTACTGGAACTGGGTGTATTTCAGTGGAAAACCGTTTATTGCTTAGTAGCTGCAAAGCTTTAGGCAAGTTCCTGTCTGTGCCTCAGTTGCCCCATGTGTGAGATGGGGCAGGGAGAGGGTTTCTGTGGGGTGGGAATAGGGGGTCCCTGGTAGGAAGCACTGGATGCTGAGACTGGAGAGGTGGGGGTGGGGATGAGAGTGTGAGCATCGCTTCATCTCAAGACAGGAATTTAAAGTTTATCCTGTGCTGTAGCTAAATTATATGGTCACCCTGTCTGATATCTTCCAAATCAGGATATTAAACTGAAGGGGAGGCTTATTAAATACACCAGGACAACAGGTGTGAAATGGGACTGTTGCAGGCACCCCAGGCAGACCAGGAGGAAAGGCCATCTGGGCAGTGGGCACTAGTGGAGGAAACTGCCCCTTGGGTGGTACACCACCTGCTTTGGGAGGGATATAAGCAGGGCTCAGATGAATTTTTATTAGGGAGTGGATTTCTGTTTTGGGTAGAAATGATATAGATGAACTTGAAGATCATTATTAATCAATGCTACAAGTGATGCCTATTGAGGTACATGAAACAAGTTAAGCAGAAAGCCTCCCCAAATTCTTTCAGATGTGTATATCTAGCAAAAAGAGGGCAGAACGTTCCTTCTGAATTATGAGGTGAAGTTAAAGTGTCTGAGTCTGTTCACCTGGATAATAACTCCATGTGCTTCAGGGAGCATCTTAAAAACACTGACACCCAGGGTGCTGCTCTGCACTTACGTAGTCAGAGTAGGGGAAGGGCATGTTGAGAAGCATGATCTGTTCTAGAGGGACACCATTCATGTCTGGGATGAGCAGCAAAACACTTTCATTAAATATTTGCTGAATCCGTGATAAGATCTTATCAAAGTCAACCCTGGAGCCATCACTTGGCACCTTTAGAGGCTTAAAATAAAGGTTAGGATGATTTGCAAACACCAAATGCCAAAGCAGTCAGACAACCTGTCACTTACTTAGAGCTCAGGTTCTCAGGCTCAGACTACTCTCCCGCGAGAGGTTGCAGCATGCCTTTATCATCATTACAAGAGACCTGAAATTACTCCAGGAAGGTTGGAGGCCTTTTTGGGGACCGGGAGCAGACAGGCATGGCCTGTTGTGCTAGCAGTTCACACGTGGAAGAGCAGTCCCTCTTTGATGGGTAGGCACCTTGTTTTGTTTTGAGAGGAAAGTAAACATCCAAGCAGGCCCATGAAGACCACTTCTCTCCCTTCCACCTTCTCTCCCAGTGACCACTGAGGTCACTACTGTGCTCAAGAACCAGACAGTGGACCTTGTGAAAGGTGGGCTTTCCCACATCCGGGGACTCACATTAAGGAGATCCTCAGTGGTCCTCTCTTGCTTTTCATTTCCACGTGTGGAAGTGACTCCTCTTAGGAAAGAAGAGGCTGCACTATGAGAATGGGTGACACTGGACCTAAGAACCTATAGGTTCTAGCTTTTCAGACAGACGGTTTTATGTTAAGAAAGGAGTGTGAAAGGAAATTAGAGGAAAAGGTTAAATTTGCAGAAGAAAAACCAATTCCCCATGAAAGGCAAAGCAAAATTCCCAGACTAATCATAATATAGTTCCTATTTTTAGAAGGCCAAGAGAAAGTGGTATTTTGTTGGAGCCTGAATATGCCTCAGCAGCCACAGACATGGAGAAAGGTTTAAGGACCAAGGGTCATCCGGGTACTTACTGGCTGACAAGTTGGCTCCTGTGAGGACTGATGTCCCTTCCTATGTCTCGCACTTTAACTGACCCAGCCTGACTCTGGCTCATGAAGAACTGGGGTCATTGAAGCCCTGGGCACCTGAATGAGAGCTAATCTACATTTCAGCATCTGAAAACTGAAACAGGAAGCAAACATCACAAAAGGGATTGAAAGCGAAGGAAGATTTAAGCATTTCCCTCACAGATATTCCTTAGAATGTGGTGTTCCTTAGAATGTCTTCAGGTACAGGTGGACAGTGTTTGGGGAGTGCATAGTGGAGGTGATGGTACCTGATGAAATAAGAACAGAGTGCAGCAGGATTCACCTGCTAATCTGGGCACTATGCACAGTTCACTGTTCTTTAAACTCCTGCCTTCCAGGCTGTATCTGAGGGCTCTTAGCAATGTCTGATCCTAACAGGTCTACTGCCAATGTTGACGTCTCTTCTAGGTTGTCTTGTTGGTCTTTCTTTGCTTCGTTTTCTACAGAGCATAGTTGCTATCCAGTGATGCACTGGGCTTTCTTTGCTCTTTCAGGCATCCAGCCGAAGCTCACATCAAATGTGTAAAGACAGGAAGATCTATGGATCAGTAGTTTTCAGCAGTTCTTGAGGGGAAGTTCTGCATTGTAGTGCTTGATTGGTTTAATTCTTTCTGCCATTTGACCCCTGACATTATTCTGGAGCCTTTCTTATCAGGAATGACACGCTAAATATTACTCATATGGCTTGACAGAAAGCCTAGTGACAGTGGCAGTAGCAGGCACCATTGTTAGGCGCCTTTGTATTAACTCATCTTAAATCTTTCCTGAAAGATGGCTTTACTGTTCTCCTTACTTTGAAAATGAAGAAATTGAGGCTTAGAGAGGGTAATAGTCTTGCCTAAGGGTGAGACACCACTAGTGTGATGAAGGTTGGTCTTTCTGACTGCGCGCGCGCGTGTGTGTGTGTGTGTGTGTGTGTGTGTGTGTCTGTGTGTGTGTGTGCGTGCGTGCACGGGTGCCTGTGCATACTGACACATGGTTATAGCACTCTGCTTGGAAAAAATCAATGGTTGATTGATTGACCTAAGTTTTTAAAGAAAATGATACTTTAGGATATACCCCAACTTCCAATAACGATAGAAAAAAGCTAGTCCTAGTCCTTTTTCTTAAATTCTCTCCTGATGAGAGAGATGTAAGCAAACACCAGCCTGAGCTACGTGATTCAAGACTTTTGTCCTGGATGATGAATTACATTCTAGGTAACAGAGAGAAGCTATTGAATTACTATTTGGAATCTTTGGAGACTCATGGATAATGAATGGGATAGGAACTGGAAAACTGAGATAGGCCAACTTTCTATTTAAAATATTTTCAAAAATAGGAGGACTATAGATGAGAGAGTTTGATGTCATTTCCATAAACTATTCTTGAACAGGTCATGCATGAAACAATCAATTTGTAAGTACTTGGATAGGAAAGGGGTGATCCCTAAATGCAAACACTGGCTCACTGAGCATGCCTTGTCCAAGTAGCATGAATTGTTTTCAGAAAATTGCAAGTTGCAAAGCCCAAGGAGAGTAAATACAGCGGTCATGGTATATCTGGGTTTCAGGAAGACATTTGACAATGTCTGTGTCTGGTCATACTTCACACCTAAAGCTTCCTGGACAAGATCAATAAATATGAACAAAAGAACAGTCAGATAGTATCATCTCCATTTGGATGACTTCTCCAGGGTCCTTACAGTTAGTACTTCACAGGTGTGCTGACAGATTTCTCATGTGGACTCTGTCATTGGCCCCCTAGTTATGACTCATCATAACTTAGATGAGGATGAATAGAACATGGAAACCAAAACTGTTAGGTGATCTGAAGTTAGGTGATGACTGCTTTGGATGAGATGATGTTTCAAACAGCTCTGAATGGTTGAGAGAATGGAAATAAATCCTATTGGGACATCTTGGTTACTCACCCAGTAATGTGAAGTTTTCTGGTTGCCAGGAATTGGACTAGGTACTAGGATTAGGAAATGCACAAGCTATAGGAGGGAGAACAGGG